TTTCCAAGTAGAACTGCTGTCATAGTCAAAATCATTTAATTCAAGTGCATGGATTTCCTGTTGCATTTCATAAAACCAAAAACCTTACATGGGTTTTGGGATATCTGGAAAACACAGAATAAGATTTTTAAAAAAGATAAAAGGAGTCTATTGTTTTTCAATCAACCATCTCTGTATAGCCTGTCAAGATAATGTCTTATTCCTTTTTTTGTGTAGATGAAATATTGTATGACTTTGTGGTCATTCCTTCTTTCCTCATAAGAGTTTAATGAGTCCTGTGCTGTTAAACCGCCTCAGTTTCCATGTACTCACGGTTCATCCTCTTTGCCTGGATTATACTTGTCAAGTTTGTTTTCAGTTTAATTTTTGTTAAACTATACTAAACCTCCTAGATTCCAGACTCCCAAAACCTCTGAGGATTAATTTCATTGGTGGCATTAATACATTGCCATATTTGCTCTTTACCTGTAAACTCATAAGAACATTGAGAAAATCATTCATGCCAGTCAGGTGCTCCACATCTTGGAAAATGGCAACCAAAAGGGTCGGGGTGATGGCAATGGAGCGGGTCAGAACTACTCGAGCAAAACGTGACCACTTCAGGTTGAGGAAACCCTGAAACAAAACATGAAAAGCAGGATTAAAATGTGGGAGCCAGTGTTGGGAAAAATGTAGAGAAGGATAAGGGCACAAACAACAAGAACATTTTTCTCTACAGAGCAGGAAAATGTGAATCTCCTGGAAAATCTAGTATCATCCAATAAATTCATCAAAACAAGAGAAGCTAACATGAACCAAATGAACTAAAGCAATCATTGTTTCATTGCTGTGAAGAAGACTAGGATGCAATCCAATGAGAGAGAAAAGATATTTAAATATGGTATGCATACAAGCAGTCCCCAACTTAGAAACATCCGACTTACAAATGACTCCTAGTTAAGAACAGGGGTGAGACAACAGGAAGTGAGAGAAATCTACCCTTTGGAAGGGAAAGAGTTATGCTGGGAAACAGGTGTCTCTACTGAAGCTTTATCACCAATCCTTGTTTCCCAATAAGCCAAAATTTCAAAATTCAATTATCATAGGAACAGAAAATGAGGTGAAATCTTCTGAACATGGGCACAGACAGCAAAACAAACACTACAGGGGTGTTAGACCTTCTTTTGCTGGAAAAGTGGGGAAAACTGAGCTGGGAAAGGAGGAAGTGGGAAGGACTGGGGAAAAGAAGGCACGTTGCCCCCCCCCCCCTTGGCACAGCGAGAGCGGAGGAGAGGAAGGCACGTGACACAGGAAGCCTCTCCTCTCTTGGTACAGTGACCCAGCTGTTTTTTTTTTCCGTCCTTTTTTCCTTTCTTTCCTTCTCTTCCATTCTTTCTTTCCCATCTTTCCTTTTCCCCTAACTTCCTTCTCACCTCCTTTSCCCCCTTCCTCCCTTTTCTCGCTCTTTGCCTCCCTCTCTTTTCCTTCTTTCCTTCTCCCATTCCTTCCTCCTTTCTTCCCTCTACCCCCAACACTCCATACATCACACTCTGGAATCAATGAGGAGACGCCGCTTCTGAGGAGCTGCTGCCTTTGCAAAGGAGAAGGGCAGTGGCAGTGGAGATTTGCCCCTTTCTCTCCCACTTTGGGGGCCAGGGCCACACTCCTGGTTCACTCCCTCCTTGCGGTTTGAATGTGGTGACAGACGTGTGTGCATGTATGCATGCGTGTTTGTCTGTGAAACAGAAAGAAGAGGGAGAGTAAGGATCATGGCTAGGCAGAGGAGAGCTTGGGGCCGAAGGGGGAGGAGAGACCATGCACCTTCCTCTCATCTTCTTTCGGCACAGCAACCCAGCTGGGTTGCTGTGCAGAGACGTGAGGGTCCAGGCAGGAAGGAATGGGGAGGAAAGAAAAGCTTCTTTCAGCCCTATGTCTTCCCGCCAGGACCTTCACTCGCGTATAAGCCGAGAAGGGCTTTTTCAGTGTAAAAGAAGGGCTGAAAAACTTGGCTTATATTCAAGTATATATGATACCTTGTTCATAACTTGGGGACCGCCTGCATAATTTTGCAGTCCGAATAGTCACTTCTGCGTGAAGCAGAATAAACTCAGCAGTTGCCATTTCATGTAACTGGGTTATTGAACACAAACAGGATCTACTACTGAAGGCATCCTTCATTCTATATAACACTACTTATGCTGGGTTATGAAACCTAGATAAAGTGTTAGGTAATAGAAAGATAGAAACCCCAAATAAAACCTACTACTACCTGGGTGAGATTTATGGCCTGTTATTAGGCAGTAAGTGAGAAGAAGGGAAGCAAGTAGTAAACTGTAAGGACAAAGTTCTGCCTTCTATGCAATTACTATCCCATACAGATGCCTCTATACATGGTACATTATTTATTTATTATTTATTATTTACTTTGCTTATATACCGCTGTATCTCAAGCCCGAAGGCGACTCACAGCGGTTCACAAACAGTAAAAACAGTAGAAACAGCAGTGGTTCCATACAACATATACATTGCATACATTGCTATCTTTTCTTTTAGCTTTTCTGCATAAGGATTTGACACCTGCCTTGCATTTTAACAATGAAGACTTCACCACAGAACTATACTGGAAACCAAATGCTGCTGTTTAATTATTTGTTCAATAATTTTCCCTGGCCATAAAGACTGTCAGATTGTTTGTGAGCCCTAGCTGATATAATCAAATGTTTCTAAATGACTGAGAATCCTTCCATGACTGATTTACTCTAATTTGAACATTCAACCACAACTCTAGAGCGAAAAAAACATGGGAGTCAGGATAATATCAAATAGCATTCCTTCACAGAAAGAGCTGGGTGTCCCCTGGGCAACTTTTCTTGTAAATGGATAATCTTTCCATTTTTATTTATGCAATGCCTCTGACACAAAATTTAAAAAAGATAAACCTGAAACATGGAGGCAGCCAGACCCCATGAACTACAATTGATACCATGAGGGGAAAAAATGAGGCAGCATTAAAATATTGTATATAGACACAGTGGGGAAGGCAGGAATAAACATGTAAACAAATGTAAGCCAATGAAGAGAAAGAAAATACCTCCATGACAAACTGTCCAGAATACGTCCCAGTCATTGTTGAACTCTGACCAGCTGCAAGAATCCCAATTGCCCAGATGTACAGAGCAGCAGGGCCAAAGTAACAGCCCAGGACAACCCCCTAAATAAAAGAAGGACGAGTAGCAAGGTTACAAAAGCAAAAGTAAGCACAAGCAGGGAAAATCAGTCCCTACTCGTGCTCCTGTATTAAATCGTAATTTTTTAAAACTGATCTGAATGACCAATTTATTCAAAACACAACATAAACCTGAAAAGTCAAGGTCACAGCACACACACAAAAAAACCATTTTTATAACTGTGCAAAGGGGGCTACTATTCAACTTCTCCAAGGCAATGGCTCTGTGCTGTTGCTATGGATGGATGGAAGGAAGGAAGGATGGATAAATAAAATAGGTACAAGCACACAGGATCTTGGACCATGATAGGGAGAGAAAATTCACACTCATCAAGTATCTGACTTCATTCTCCTGGCTAAGCTCAGAGTTAAAAGTCAGCTGCTAATCCATCCGGAGCCACTTTGGTAACAAGAATTTGTGTGGACCTTTTTACAACACAGATGTGTGGCGTATTGACATAATGCCTGAATAAAGACTCACTTCAGTTTTTGGGTTTTTTTCCCCCAAGACAAAATACTTTCAGTCTTATATGATCATCCACAAAAAATACATTGGCAGATTCAGGTATTGGGGAATTTTCCAGAATATTATCATGATGTGAAGAAGGTACTTGATAAAAACATTCATTTGTCTGAGAGCGATCTGTCAAGTGCCAACCCTTATGGATGTGCCAGAGTGCTAAAACTCTGGGTGGCCATCTGTCAGGAGTGTTCTGATTATGATTTTTCCTGCATGGCAAAGAGTTGGACTGAATAGCTTTTGATGGCACATTCAACTCTATGATACTGTGATTTTCTGCTTCCCATCCCCAACACTATCAATAAATTACATAGATTACATTTTCTGCAAAAAATATGAAATGTTAAGTTATTGGGTTGTTGTAGGTTTTTTCGGGCTATATGGCCATGTTCTAGAGGAATTCTCTCCTGAAGTTTCACCTGCATCTATGGCAAGCATCCTCAGAGGTTGTGAGGTCTGAGGATGCTTGCCATAGATGCAGGCGAAACATCAGGAGAGAATGCCTCTAGAACATGGCCATATAGCCCGAAAAAACCTACAACAACCCAGTGATTCCGGCCACGAAAGCCTTCAACAATACAATGTTAAGTTATACTTGGCAAGGTTTCTTTTAAAGTTATAGGAATTTTAAAATTTTCCTTTAATCAGCTTTCTCACTAAGATGTATTTTTCATCACTCTTTAAAAACTAACACTGATCTCTATAAACAAGACAATATATTTCCCATGAACTTCAAAGAATCTACATGCTACAGAAGCTTAATCATTACCTTGCTCTGTGTTTACATTGGACACCAGGTTTTTAAAATTCAGGGTGCACAGGCACCAGTACTGTGAATTTCTCATGGTATGCTCGAAATCCATTAGTCCAATTTCTTTATCACAGTTTCTCCCAACTCCCTACCCTTTCCCAAAACAGAAAAGTCAGCCCCACTTCTCCTATCTCCCCCCCCCCCAAAAGAGAAATGCATTGTGCCTTTCACAGAGTTGCTCACCCCTTTATAGATATCCACATCCAAGGACTCGTTGTTTTGTGGAAACAGCGCAGCTTGAGAACTTTTATTTGCACAGAAGTTGTACTGAAAACAGAAATTTAGACACAGATCAGGCACAACATTTTCCATAGACAAATCTGACAATGCTTAGAAGCAGGCACCTGAAACACATACATGTGCATACATGGACATGCATTTACAAAAAATGCATTTAAGAAATAATAGCTCAAGTAAACCGCCCAATTCTGATTTGCAAAATGATGTAGAGGAACACATGTGGAAAAAAAAAACTCATTATGAGAAGGGGAACAACAGCCTTGAAATAAACAGCAGGAAGAGTATTACTGGAGCACTAGGATACTACGGCACTTGTCCCACCAACTGTTTGTTGGGTAAAGGTTGAGTCTCCCCTATCCAAAATGTTTGGGACCAGAAGAGTTTTGGATTTGGGGTTCTGAAATACTTATATTTGCATATGTGTACATTTTAAAAATTGTGTCAGAAGCAAATTGAGAATATACTGCATGTCGTTTCTAGTGTGAGAGAATGGGCCATCTGAAAGGACGTTACCCAGGGGACGCCCAGATGTGTTGCCATCCTGTGGTAGGCTTCTCTCATGCCCCCACATGGGAAGCTGGGGCTGACAGGCGGGAGCTCACCCCATCTCATGGATTCAAATCACCAACCTTCAAGTCTTCAGATCAAAAGTTCAACCGGGACAAGGGTTTAACCCATTGCTTTACCACAGCTCTATGTGTACATAATGAGATATGATGAAAATGAGACCCAAGTCTAGACCTGAAATTCGTTTCTATGCAATATATACCTCATACACATAGCCTGAAGGTACTTGTATACATAATGTTTTTTATAATTTTGGTGTTTGAAACAACACTTGTTTGTTGCTTTCTAGTAAATACTTAACATTTACATAAGAAAGTGCACCAGGGAGGGAGGGCCAAGAGAGAATGAGAGAACACTTACTACTTCTTCATTTGTCTTGCCAAAGAAAGCTTCAGCGAATACCGAGACCACAAAAACATTGATGATAAAGGAGACAAAAAGGGCGACACAGGATTCTATGAAGAAATATTTGTTGGCCTCAGAGACTTCCTTCTTGTTGGCACGATTCACCTGTCGAGACTGGAGAAAAGACAAGAGATGACAGATTCACACAGCCTGCAAGGGAGTAGGGTAATTTAAACTGTTGTGCCCCACATTGATGGGATAAATCCAGAGGGTAACACTCACAGCTTAGAGCTTCTATCCATCTTATAAAATGTAAAATGTTAAGCAGCCCTTTACGGCCTCACAGACCCTGCTGTACTGCGAAATATTCCTGGCTGCACCAGTGTCTGGGGATGCCTAACCCAGCATAGTATTTTAAATGTGAACATACTGGATATACAATGTTTAGAGAAAGATTTAGAGAAAAGAATCAATGTAAAAAACCTAGGTCAATGTTGGAAAAGAACAGCGACAAGAAATAGAGAAGCACTCCCATTCTATTGCCTAGAAATAAGGAACTACTGTAAAATCTGCCCCTTTTAAAAATAGCCACTACAGTCTCTCTACAAAGAGGCCTATGCGGCCAGCACTTATGATAAATGGCCACTGTCATTCCACTCCACTTCAAGTACCCAAAATATTAGCCATGGCATGTGTATATTTCCCCCGACATTGGAGTCATACAGCATAGGATTTTTCCTCTCTGCCTGTGTTTATACAAAACTGAAGCATACGATATGAGGATGTAAAGATCGAACTGCAAAGACTCTGGCACAAGCCAGTAAAGGTGGTCCCAGTGGTTGATCGGCACACTGGGTGCAGTGGCTAAAGACCTTGGCCTGCACTTAAACACAATCGGCACTGACAAAATTACCATCTGTCAGCTGCAAAAGGCCACCCTTTTGGGATCTGCATGCATTATTTGCCAATACATCACACAGTCCTAAACACTTGGGAAGTGTCTGACATGTGATCCAATACAATAGCCAGCATAGTGACCTTGTTTGCTGTGTACTAATCTTGTTGTGTTAATAATAATAATAATAATAGCAACAATACTTTATTTATAGATCACCCTATCTCCCTAAGGAGATAGGACTCATGTTATCCATGGCGTGTGTGTCTCTCTCTTGGAATATACTCCCCCCAACACAGGAGTCGTACAGCATAAGATTTTTTCTCTCTGCTTGTGTTTATGCAAAACTGAAGCAGCTGTGCTGCAAACATTGATTCTGTCACACAACCGATGACCATTTCGGAAAACAAGTGAGTAGTAAGTCCACACCTGATTTTAAACTAAAGCATTTGGAGTGAGAATGGGTAGAACGGTTCAGAAAATGCCTCCCTGATCATGTGAAATCCCACCAAAACATACCTTGACCAAAGCAGAATGCAGGTACATGTTGTGTGGCATGATGACAGCACCAACGATCCCGACAGCCTGCTCTAACTGAGGGGCTCCACAGCCGGCACAATATGGCATAAACATCCCTTTGAGCAGCTGGCCTTGGTTTGGTCGTACCGTAACATACTATGGAACAGATAGAGTAAGCAGATTAGCTCCCTGGGTAGAATGACTGGCCTTAACAAGCCACAGAAGGAGGTCCTGTTCTATTCCACGAAAAGGCCACTTCAAGGGAGAAAACATATTCTTCTCAAAAGAAAATTATAACTATAATTAAAATGTTTATTTTGAACTTCTGTTATTCATTACAAGACTGAAGTAATCTAATCACAGATATTACCTCGGAGTGTAGTGGAGGCTCCTTCTTTGGAAGCTTTTAATCATAGGCTGGATGGCCATCTGTCAGGGGTACTTTGAATGTACTTTTGCTGCATGGCAGGGGGTTGGACTAGATGGCCCATGCAGTCTCCTCCAACTCTATGATTCTAAAAATAGCACTTTCTTTTCCTCATGCATTCTTTGTACCAACCAAAACCAAGTCCAAAATGGATTCTTTCAGACCCAGTTTCAAAGGAACAGGGGAGTTGGAGAGTAGGAATGGCACCTTCCCATTTCTGCTGGATCCCAGTATTCAGAGAGTGGAAAGTCACCTCCAGCTACCAGGCCTGGGATTTTAGATGTTCAGACCATGAAAAAATTCTTGTGGTTTAATTTTTGGTAAGGGCTGTCTATGGCCCTATTTGTCCTCACGTATTCCACAAAGTGGGATAAATCTTTGGCAGGGCCCCCCTGGTGGCACAGTGGGTTAAACTCCTGAGCTGATGAACTTGCTAACCAAAAGGTTGGTGGTTTCAAATCCAGGGAGTGGGATGAGCTCCCACTGTTAGCCCCAGCTTCTGCCAACCTAGCAGTTTGAAAACATGCAAATGTGAGTAGACCAATAGGTACCACTTCTAGGGGAAGGTAATGGCACTCTGTGCAGTCATGCTGGCCACATGACCTACGAGATGTCTACAGACAATGCTGGCCTTTGGCTTAGAAATGGAGATGAGCACCACTCCCCAGAGTCGGGCACAACCAGACTTAATGTCAGGGAAAACATCTACCTTTTTATCCCCAAAATGCAACATTTGTGTTTGTGTTTTTAAACTCAACATCTCTGATATTTAAAAGCAGCATTACCTCATATCCAAACGTGATGGCCATAATAGTAATCAGGAAGCCAAAAAATGCCTCCAGTTTCCTCAAACCTAGGGGAAAAAAGACACACGTATGACAATAGCTGCTTTGGGCTCCAGAAGTTCTGGTGTTACAAGTCTGTAAGAAATATGTCATTTTTTCAAATTTTCACAGAAGCACAATGGATATTGTACACTATTGTATGTCCGCCAACTCCAGCGCAATCCCTCTCTTAGGGTGGAATTACAGCCGTGACCAAAATAAGCTCCAAGTCCAGATTGAACACCTGGGATTTGACATATCCATCAGGAAAGGGCCTTCAGAAGCTAAAAGACTCCAAATCTTATCACCCCATGAATAGATATGCTCTTCCAACTCTGCAGGAGGGGAGACCTCCATATAGAGTCCAGTATCTCCAGCAGTTGTTGAACTTCGACTCTCATCAGTCCTAATTCATAAGAGAATATGGTAACCAATAAGAGTGATACATGCGGGGAAGAATAGTAGTTTCCCAACCTGTGGAAAGTCATATGTTCACTGTCATAGAGAGCTAGAGGTATTATCTTGGGTTTAAAAAAGGCAGTTTCTTTATTCACTTTCATGGGGGACTTGTGCACCTAACTCCCATAAATGTGGAGGGCTAACTGTATGTAAAATGATCTCAGGGTGGCATAGAAGTAAAATCAATGCAAACAAGTTAAAAATACAAATGATTAAAATAGTGAATTAACTACAATTAATAAGTTAAATCAGATTTAAAACCATGTGCATGAGCTGCCTGGGACAAATCAATGAGACACAAAGATTTTTTTTTTTTATGCAAGAATGTTTTTACTTTGTGCTGAAACAAAACCAACATTGGTGTCAAGCCAGCCTCTATGACCAAAGAGTGAGGGAGAGAAAGAGCAAAGAGTAACCAAAATACTAACAGGTTATTTGTTAGCGGATTGAATCAGTGGCTGTTTCCACAAGCAAAACGTTGTTCTACTAACAATCAAAAGGCAAAATGTGTTGGAAGGCTTCACCCACAGTTCAGAGAGAACTATGCAACCCAACTACATTCCCGACAGAGTCTCTGATATACAAGATATATTTTAAGGGAGTTTCCTGCAAGCAGGAGAACAGCTGGAAGTCCTTCCAGAATTTCGCAAGCTCTGTTTAAAGTACATGAACGTGAGTCAATGACAGCATAGCTCACAAGGCTCCTTTCAATGCCACTTACGAAAGAGCCCTTATACCAGTTGTTAAAAAATGAAAACAGATGACTTAAGGCCCTTCCAGAAAGGCCCTATATCCCAGGATCTAATCCCAGGTTTTCTGTTTATCCCATATTATCCGGCAGTGGGGACACATATAATCCAGTTTAAAGCAGAAAACCTGGGATCAGATCCTGGGAAGAAAAATTGCTCAGATAAGCAGCTTACCATATTTATCCAGGAAGAGAAACACAAAGGTGTCCGCGATTGTTATGAGAACTCCGCCCCACAAAGGTACTCTGTAGGAAGACAAAACAGAGGGGTGGCCTACTGGTGTGCTCTAACCCAAAATCTGGAATACCTTTCACTTAGGGGACTTCAAACAGTGCAATGCAGGTTTACCTAAAGAGGATATTTGGGAGGAGATATCAATAGCTCCTTACGTAATAGGCATGCTGGGAAGCCTAACTCATGTATAAGTCGATCTCACATATAAATTGAGAGCAGGTTTGGAGGCCAAAATTATGGTTTTTAATATGACTCCTGGACAAGTTAAGGGTCATTCCATGGAGAAGGGAAAACGCCACCCCTGGACACCACCAATTTCCTATCCAGGCATTCTCAAAGGTCAGAAGCAGTAAGTAGAGATGGTCTGTGTTTCTTTTAGGTTCTCCCAGGATGGACTAAGCTCTAGCCCAGTGGTTCTCAACCTGTAGGTGTTTTGACCTACAACTCCCAGGAACCCCAACCAGTTTACCAACTGTTAGGATTTCTGAGAGTTGAAGGCCAAAACATCTGGGGACCCACAGGTTGAGAACCACTGCTCTAACCTTTCTATTCAGAGAAGAGAATACTTTAAACCAGGGGTTCTCAAACTAAGGCCCGGGGGCCAGATACGGCCCTCCAAGGTCATTTATCCGCTCAGGCTCAGCCTAAGTCTGAAACGACCTGAAAGCACACAACCACAATCCTATCTCATTAGCCAAAAGCAGGCCCACACTTTCCATTGAAATACTAACTTTATATTTGTTAAAATTGTTCTTCATTGTAATTATTGTATTGTATATATGTGCAGTGTGCATAGGAATTCATTCATCTTTTTTTCAAATTATAATCCGGCCCTCCAACAGTTTGAGGGGCTGTGACCTGGCCCTCTGTTTAAAAAGTTTGAGGAGCCCTGCATTAAACCATAGATAAATCAACCCAGATTTTTAGGGTTGATTTTTTGGCTGAAATTTCTAGACAGATACACAATTATATACAGGAACAACTGAGAGAGGCAAAAGCCACCTTAAGAAGGAAACCTCGGCTAGGCAATTTGTTGGAAGTTTATGGTGCGAAACACTGCACTCATTGCCAATAGCAAATATACAGGAAAATGGGAGTTTCAACCTGATGGAGCTGGTTATTTTTATCTGAAATCTGAATCTTCTATTCATTTCAGGAGACCTTGACCTTTCAAGGAAAGAAAGAGGGGAAAAAAGGTCAGGCTTCAACTACTGTGATCTATGCTACCTCACAGAGTGTGTGACGCCTCTGGGTTTCCTTAAATCAGGCAGGGAGAACATTACTTCATGATTTCAATGGACTTCTACATCCAAAATCCCTAACCACTGGGAATATTGGTTAAGGTTGATGGAAATTGTAGTCCAAAATCTGGAAGGTGATATGATTCCATCACTCCAATTTACACAAGGCTGGCAGTGAGTCTCCAGGGCGTCATCCAGGATAGTTTGCTAGTCCTTCCTAGAGATGCTTGGAGCAGGAAGGGTAGATATGAAGCTGGGACCTTCCAAATGTGTCCTAACCACTGAGTAACCCCAAATTCTACTGCACCAGTAAGTATGCACTCAAAGTGAGTGCATAGTTCTGGTTACCTCCTCTAAAAAGGTTTGATAGCCCAGGACAAGGAAAGACATAGACAGAAGAAGGGCGGTTAATATAATCACGGTATTGAGGGAGTTTTACTGCAAAAAGACCCGGAAGTTTTGATCCAACTTACATTCCAGCACTCAACAGGTTAATGGCAATTGCTGAGCCAATGACTTCTTGCATATCTGAGCCAATGATAGCCAGCTCCACCATCAGCCACAAGACAATCCGAGGGACCTAGGCAAAAATATGGGAGTCAGATTGGAACATTTGATTTAGGCTGTGGGTCTACTTCCCTATCTAGAGCAGAAATACACAATCTGTGGCATCTCAAGAGCCCACTGCAAATAATCAGCCCCAATCACGTCCTTCCAAGGACACTCACTAGGTAGAAAAAGAGCTGTGAGGCAGGAAAAATGAAGAAGAATGGCAAAAAGAAAAAGCAGGAGACTGGATGGTCTTGACAAGCAGCCAGTGAAATAATTCACAAGTTCTTTTAACATGTGCAGAGAGTGCTTCTTTCACTGTGAAATATTAATCTGTACCAGAAATGATCAAGCAGGGCTATTCTCTTCCATCCTGTCTGTTGCCTCCAGGGTTGTTATAATTACTGATATTTGGAGAAATCAGGGTGCGTTTCGTTTAAAGCCGTGCTTGGTTTAAACAAGTATGTACAATACTTGCTTCACGACGCAATTCTTTCTGGGCTTGTTTTGGCAAGACATATTTTGCTGAAGATCCAGTACTGTTGAAAATACTCCTTTAACAACGTGAACTAATTCCCCTTTTGTCTGTCTCTCTCCCCATTATACCTGATGGTCTGTCTTTGGGTGGTCCAGGGAGGAAAAGAATATATTCCTTTCTTGGCATATTGTAATCATAATTTCATTTCCTCTAGGAGTGACTTTTACATTTACTACATAATGCGACTTCAACAGATTGAATAATGGACTATGGATTTGGAAAATGATTTGGGCATGAGATCATGACTTAGTATTTTATAAGGCTTTAATCTGTTTGGTTGATTGATATGTGTTTTAATTGCTTATATATTTAGATTGCTTATATTTTGATGAGATGTGTTTTATTGTTTACTTGTGCAGCACTGAATTTTTGCCAGATTTGTAAGTTGCGTTGAGTCCCCTCCCAGGTTGAGAAAGGGTAGAAATGAAGTAAATGATAATAATAATAATAATAATAATAATAATCTATATAAATAAAAATGTAATGTTCATTTGTGGGATTAACATAACTCAAAAACCACTGGATGAATTTATACTAAATTTGGACACAATAYACCTATCAGGCCAACGAGTGACCATCACTCACAGAAACACTGAAAAACATAGTAAAAAAGCCAAAAAATAAAACATACATTAACAACCACATATATGCACATATACACATACATACACACACAAAACACATATACATAGACTGGGCCATAGCAACGCATGACGGAAACAGCTAATAATAATAATAATAATAATAATAATAATAATAATGTTATTTTCAGTATGTAGGAACTTGGATACAGGTACAGGTCCACTCCAAATAACTATTTTTTCTGAATTACAAGAGGGAGAAATTGCAACGTAATACTTCTTTGGATGAGATTGTGTGGTAATTGCTATGATACGGTCTCTTCCGCTTTCATTGAGTGTTGTTTCTCAAACCTTTGAACTGCATGGGAGGAGCCAGTTTCTGGGAGAACTGATACTGTTGGCACCAAGATGAACCTCAAGTGTCACCTCCTCCCATGCAAGGTGGGATTGCCAATATTTTTCTTTTTGTTACGGCACCAGAAGATAGTTCGGGGGGAGAGGGGGGTGAGCTCATTTAGAAAAGGCAAGGAGGTCCTTTGTTCTTAATTTCTTAATTAATGTTTGATTTAAAAACACGGGTTTTCACACTGACTTTGTTCCCGTTTCATCATTCCATTTTAACTAGAGGCTGACAGATCTTCATGGTAGTCTGCCGAATTTTAGGCAGCATAATCCGCACAGGCAATTGCTCATCAGCCAATGCTGAATCCTCCCTTTCCCAGAAGTGCTTGGTTCCTAATTATAGACTTCAGTAAGCTTTTGCATTGCACTATGCCTGTGGTAACAGGACATGAGAAAAATTAAAGATATGTTTTTGTAGTTATGGCTTAGCTGTGGTGGGGAGAGGGACAGCCACTGGAATCATCCATGTATTGATGACATTTTTAAGGGCAGCTCCTGGCTCAGACATAAAAATGGGACAGAAGTAGTAAGTGCTCCTCTATATAATGACAACATTTTTAAAAAGATGCCTGAAGCATACACTCAAATATATCAAGCTCCTGAATTCTCCTGCCTCCATGGTCAGTGGTTTCACTATATAAAGGAAGGTTAATATTTTATAATGTAATCATGTGTGTCTGTGATTGTAATTCCATGGTTTTATCGTTTTTAGATCTATGTATTGTTTATATGTGGCACCTTGCTGTACTTTGTTTGCCCACCCCAAGTCCCTTCAGGGAGATGGTGGCAGGGTAGAAATAAAATGTATTATTGTTTTACTGACACAAAACTTGTGCTTCTCACACAAGATGGTTTTCGACAGATCAGCTGCACAGTTTTCTTACCTACCTTGGGATATTGTCGGTTGCATACTTCCGCCAAATGAAGTCCTGTTACCACTCCTAACCTTGCTGCCAGGCGTTGCAGAAGCAGACCAATGACAGTGGCCAGCAAAAGAACCCAAAGCAGCTAAAAGACAGAAAAAGAAGGGAAAAAAACAGACATGCTAAGAGAACTATGGCAGTCAGACAACCATCTAAACAACCTGGAGATTTGGGCTCCTAAAAAGAGCTAGCGTCTCTTTTGGAATGCTGTGGCACCATATTCTATATGTGACTTTGCTATAGAGGCATCAACCTCTCTGACTACTGAGCCTTCTCCAAGAATCCTGCAAATAACAGTCTTGGGACTTATATGACATATAAAACACTCATGAAACAGAACAAGTTTCATATACAGCTGTAAAACCGCCGGAGCATCGCTATGTCTCCAGACAGAAACAATATAAACCTACTTTCAGATGAAAGAAGAGTGTGCACATGCTACCTCTGCTAATTTAATGAATAAAAAATACAGAGCAAGCTAAAAAGCAGGTAGCCAAGTGAGTTGGTTGGAGATGTATGCTCCCTCCAACCTCTGGTTTTCAGTTTTGTTTCTTTTCTTAAGCAGTGCAATGCTCTATCTCTTCAGCATCCAAAAGGAGCTCCCGGTGGCGCAATGGGTCAAACCCTTGTGCCAGCAGGACAGCTGACCAAAAAGTTGGCGGTCGAAATCCAGGGAGTAGCGTGAACTCCCGTCTGTCAGCTCCAGCTTCTCATGTGGGGACATGAGAGAAGCTTCCCACAGGATGGTAAAACATCCAGGTGTCCCCTGGGCAACGTCTTTGCAGACGGTCAGTTCTCTCACACTTGCAGTTTCTCAAGTACTCCTGACATGAAAAAAAGCATCCAAAAGAAATGTTTAAAGGTTTAAGATTACTCCTGAAAAGCTGTTGATCTGTATGACCTTGATGCCTAGCCTTATGTAATTCAACTGTTTCAGGTTTCTAGTATGGCTCGGAAACAAATGAAATTAACAACGGCAGCAACTAAACTCCCAAATTTAAAGGACTGGATAGGATTCAATTACTACACGTTTATTCTATGAAATGCCGAGTGGGGAAATGCTGTGGTCCTTCAGAAGTCTGTGGAACTATAACTCCCAGCATTCTCCACCTCTGACTACATTGCCTAAGGTTCATGGGAAGTGCATCTTATGGAAGGCCACATTATTTCTACTTTTGCTATATGGGAAGGGGTCAACATCCATGCCTTTCAGAACAGTCTCCTCTCATGGAAACTTCCTATTTTTCAGTTGATTCAAACATGCCAGATGATTGTAAGGGCCTGTTAGGAAAACTGTTTTGTTTTTGTTTTTTTTACCATCAAGCACATTTAAGTTCAGTAAATCAAGTTGTATATTCACAATGTTAGGCATCTTAAAATATACGTTTAAAATGCAGATTAAGCTAAACATTTGTCACTGAATAGCTGTTGATTAATAACATTACTTTGATGCTTTTTTTCTCCCTATATTTTGACTACTAATCCCATCCTCCCCATTCATTGAGATTGACACAAATATTATATGGCTGGTGATCATAGGTTCAATATATTAGGAGTGTGCTGGGTAGAGAAGGTCTGGTTTGTTCAGTATTATTTTTCTGCTCTAAAGTGCTTTGGATGCTCACAATCAAAAATTTCTCAACCGCTTACCTTAAACCCTGCAATGGAACCAGACTGCAGATCCGATTCAATGTTGCCTGGATCCAGATAAGCAATACTCATGAGAAAACCTGGTCCCGTAAAAGCCCAGAGTTTTCGAAAACTGAACCACGGGTGCTACAAAAATGGAAATTAAGAGAATAAAGGGGAAATATTAAATCTCTCTTTTTTCAAAACATAAAGCTACTATAATGCTGTTTGTTTACAATTAATTTTCAGAAAATAAACATTGTAGGCCAAGACAATTTTTTTGAAAAAAATATAAATACTGTAGTGCATCCTACATATATGACATAGTGTTGTCAAAATAGATCATATGAACAATTTCCTGCTAGCATCATCATCATCATCATCATCATGGGTGATTCCTTGTGGCTGAGTATGATTGTCTTCCAAAGACAGAGTCTTGTTTACTACGGGGAATACCATTGCTTTAACTATGTGGATCTTCGTTGCCAGTGTGATGTCTCTACTCTTCACTATTTTATCGAGATTGGTCATTGCTCTCCTCCCAAGAAGTAAACGTCTTCGAATTTCCTGGCTGTAGTCTGCGTCTGCTCTCATCTTCATGCCTAGAAATACAAAGTCTGTCACTACATCCACCTTTTCTCTCTCTATTTGCCATTTATCAATCTGTCTGGTTGCCACAATCTTGGTTTTTTTATGTTTAACTGCAACTCAGCTTTTGCACTTTCTTCTTTCACTTTGATTTGAAGGGTCCTCAGCTCCTCCTCGCTTTCAGCCATCAAAGTGGTATCATCTGCATATCTAAGGTTGTTAATGTTTCATCCAGCAATTTTAACTCCAGCCTTGGATTTATAAAACCCCGCACATCACATGATGTGCTCTACACACAAGTTGAATAAGTAGGGTGAGAGTATACAGCCCAGCCGTACTCCTTTCCCAATCTTGAACCAGTCTGTTGTTCCATGGTCTGTTTTTACTGTTGCTACTTGGTCATTATACAGATTCCTCAGGAAACAGACAAGGTCACTTAGTATCTCGAGGCCACCAAGAACTTGCCACAATTTATTATGATCCACACAGTCAAAGGCTTTAGAATAGTCAATAAAACAGAAATAGATGTTTTTCTGAAAGTCCCTGCCTTCCTCCATTTGGTCTCTCATTCTTTTACCTTTTCTAAATCCAGTTTGTACATCTGGCAACTCACGATTCCATGTATTGCTGGAGTCTACCTTGCAGTTTATTATTGTTGTTTATTTACAATTAATTTTCGGAGAAGCAACATTGTAGGCCAAGACAAGTTTTTGAAAAATTATAAATGCTGAAGTGCATCATTCACATATAATGTAGTGATGGGTCATACCAACAACTTCCAGCTAGCATGATCATCATCATAGATAATTCCTCGTGGCCGAGTATAATTGTCTTCCAAGGATAGAGTCTTGGTGGTGAGTACGTAGGTGACTGTACAGACCTATTCTTGATCTGCATGTTCTTTCACAATGAGGACATTGATTTCCAGATGAAAAGTGGTCCTGACAAGAGTTTGCTTGACACCATCTTTCTCTTGACACATTTTTCTTGTCCCTTTCACCCCATTCATGCCTTTTCAAATTCCACAGCGCTGCTGGTAACAGCTGACCTCCAATTAGATCACTCAAGAACCAGGACTTCCCAGTTCTCAATGTTTGTTAGAACATTTTTGTTAGCTTTAAGCCCATCTTCAAAGCTCATATGAACATCTTCCTGCTAGCAATGTATCTAAGACTGGTTATTACATGTGAAAAGGTATTTCAGATGAGAATTGTATTCCTGAATGAAAAATCACAAACTTGAGCTGTAGCTGACAACACATTCACAGCAAGTACAGTTCACACTCCATATTTGTAGGCTTAACTTTGGGTATTAAAGGATTTGATTAATATGATCTCTCTAGTAATCTGTACATCCTCCAGCACAACTCTGTGGTTAACCTCCACCAATGGTTGATCATAAAGTCACACTGAAGAACCAAGAGATTCTTAGAGAGTGGTTCTTTCAGTTACTTTTTTTATTTGCAGGGGCCCTGCAACCCTAACTGCAATGAATGTGAAGAACTGACTAAATATGCATTATTTGTAGATTGTCCCAATATAAGAATAGAGAAAATGGAAAGAAGAAATGCACACTTCAACCTTTTATCTAGAAAAAATCTTCAATAGTGGCTTCTTTTCTTTGCTCATTTAAAGTTAAATGCAAAAAAATGGTGATCCCCTGCTAATAAAGAAATAACCAGCTTACGTTTTGACTAATTATAGACTCTTGTTTTGATTTCCAAGATGCAAGGTCTTTGTAGCTATCAGCTGAACCTTGAGAAGCTAGCTAGTTTTGCCTATGGTTCTGCAGAATGATCAGCGGGTTCCCAGGTCATTTCAGAAATTACAGGCTCTGATTGTTCATCTACACAGAGAACTATTGTGTCCCTTCATTCAACCATTACACTGAAAATGTTAGCAAGGAAAAGATTGTGAACTACTTTCTCTCCATGGCAAGTAGCAGGAAGAAGCCAAAAGCCATCTCAATGGGGCTGACTTTCAAGCCACATTAGTCAAACATATCTTCCATCTTTGCTGCAGGGTTGCTGATGCAAAGAAGGAGCAGAATATTGAAATGAACCCAGTGCAGTGGTTGTCCAAATGCCACTGGACTATAATTCCCAAAATCCCAGTCGCTGGTTGGAGCTTCCAGGATTCTCAAGTGCAGCAATGCCTGGGATTAAAGTTTAGAAATCACTGATAAATGCTTCCAAAAATCAGATAGCCAAAGCATAGTTGAAACTGCTTTGAGTCCCCCTCGGGGTGAGAAAAGCAGTACATAAATGCTGTAAATAATAATACTAGTGGCAACATTTGTTTTTATGGCAGAAGAAGTTTTTTTTTAATTAGCCTACCTCTGGATGTTCAGGACTGACTTCCCCAATCTCCTCCTTTCCCTCACTCTGTTGACATTCACATAAGCTCAATTAGGGGTTCTGGGGACAGCTGCTGTTTACCTTGCTTTTTATAGGCAGAAACATACAACTACAATAGGATAAGCTACAGTAGCTTCCATTTTACTTCCAGCTAAACATTTGTGACAAATGCTGCTAAAAAATTTCTATTAGAGAAGAGAGAGGAAAAGACTTTGTAAAGCAAGTTTCTTTGTCACAAGCTTTGTTAATTAAGATAAGCCTTGAAACAGCATTTGAGGAATTGTTGTTGATAACTTAACACACCCCACCCAACCCCACTCCAAAGGAGAAGCAGCACTATGGCAAATCACACTAACCTTTTCATCTTCAGGTATAGGAATTTTCTGATCAAAATATGTGGTAAATTCATCGGTGGAGTCCGAGAGTTGGGCTGGAACTGGGTTACCGTAAATGGTGCTAACGCCATCTCCCGAGGAATCTTCTGTAAATCAATAACAACGTATGTTTTGATAAAAAGTAGGGAAAATGATGCAGCACATAGGCTAAGTACATTATGTTGCTGACTTCCACTTCATCCTGGCCAAAGTCCAAAATGCTAAAACTTTTTACTGTGGTAGTCTGGAAAAGAGCCAGCATGGTGTAGTAGTTTGAGTTCCAGGGTAGGACACTGGTGGATCAGAATTTGAATCCCTGCTCAGCTATGGAAACCTACTGTGTGACTTTGGGCAAGGCACATTCTCTCTGCCTCAGAGGAAGGCAAGGGAAAACTCCTCTGAACAAATTCAGTTAAAAAAAACCATGTGATTGGGTCACTATAAGAAATTACTCAAAGGCATAAAACAGCAGAATATAGTGAATGCAGTATAATACACTGTCCTCCAAGGCCTGGGACTCAGTTTTAACAGGACCTCTCAATCTCAACATCCCTAATATAGCAGCATCAAAACATAATTCTATAAAAAGAAACTGTGGGAATGAATGAAACAAACAGGATAAAATGTTTTGTATGTAACACCAGCTTATGTATGAATCATTATCATCATACTGCCATAATTCATAATACACTCAACTCACTAATTCATAATACACTCAATGGGGTTGACTTTTGAATGTTATCAAGGTTATACGAAAAATTCAATTGCAGCCATATAGTCCTATTGCTTAACAATGAATTATGAAAAAAATGTTTAGGAATATCCATACTTTGAATGTGTTTGACTGCATATATGCATATGGGCCTCATTTATACACAGGTCTGGGTTCCAACATCAACAAAATATTACTATTTTCAAAGGCACTTTCTCTCCAATTCCTTTCACATGGCATCGAAGTTATTAGGGCACTTCCACAAGATACAGCTGTGAGCTATACAAAAATAAATCCTAAATTGTGCTGTTGTTGTTTTTTAAAGAGTCATCTCTGAATTCAAATAATGGGATGTTCTGTTGTGTGTTGAGATCCTCCTCAGAGGATCTCTTCGATCCTCTGAGGAGGCCCTTCTCTCGCCCCTTCCTCTATCACAGACCCGTCTTATGGGAACGAGGGAAATGGCCTTTTCCGCTGTGGCCCCCCGCCTTTGGAACTCGCTGCCTAGGGAGATCAGGCAAGCCCCCACTCTAGCTGCCTTTAAGAAAGATCTAAAATCCTGGCTCTTTCAATGTGCCTTCGGAGAAGGACCACTCAACCCTTCTGGTTGTTTTAGCCTATAGATGCCCTCAGAATATTACCTCCTGAAAGCATGACTCTAACATCTAGAGAAAACAAATTTTGGAGAGAAAGCAACAGGGATTTGGATGTTGTGCAAGGTCTGTGAATGCTGTCCTTGTGCGATGACTGGGAGAAGTACTTTCCTTTTCAGGGTCACTTTCAGTACTCCAAGTTCCAGGCTATCAGTCCCATCAAGCCGTAAGTCCAAGAAGCTATAGTTGTTCTTGAAGTCCAGCCTTGCCCCTGTAAGTCGGGCCTCGCTGAAATTAGACTATGTGTCTCCAGGTCTCCCTTTTCTCCACTCTACTATTTAACGCAGGACCTTTCTCGTGCTGCCCATTTTCCTCTATTACCCATTTACTCTTCTTCTTCTTTATGTGTCTCTTTAGATTGTGAGCTGGTGGTCAGCACCTTATTTTTAGATTTCTCATTAGGAACCTGCATACCAAAAATCCGTTAATTGCCAGCACTCTTTTTGCTTCAGACGCAAAATGTGTCCGAAGTTTTCTTATGACGATTGTTTAGGGAGAAAAATACAGAGATTCTGACCAAATCCAACCAATATATAATTCTCGAAAGTATCCATGTGTTCCCTTAAGTAGCAACTATAGAATGGCTTCATACTCTTCCTAATATTCTCAAAGGCAACCTGTTTTTCCCATTAGAAAATGTGAATACTTAGAGCAGCGGTCCTCAAACTATTGCCCGGGGGCCGGATGAGGCCCTCCAAGGTCATTTTTCCAGCCCTCACTCAGGGTCAACACAAGTCTGAAATGACTTGAAAGCACGCAACAATTACAACAATCCTATCTCATCAGCCAAAAGCAGGCCCACACTTCCCACTGAAATACTAATAAGTTTATATTTGTTAAAATTGTTCTTCATTTTAATTGTTGTATTGTTTTTAAGTGTTTTTTTTGCACTATAAATAAGATATGTGCAGTGTGCATAGGAACTCATTCATGGTTTTTTTTTTTTCCAAATTATAATCCGGCCCTCCAACAGTTTGAGGGACTGTGACCTGGCCCTCTGTTTAAAAAGTTTGAGGACCCCTGACTTGGAGGGTTACTGTTACACATAAATGTTCACCTCCATAACAAGCACTGAAAAATAACTTAGCTGCTTTTAATTGATTTCTGGTACATATAAGAATTTGTTTATAGCTGTGGGAAGTGCTGGGATGAGGGCTGTCTAAAGTCATAGAATCATAGAGTTGGAAAAGACCCCGAGGGCCATCCAGTCCAACTCCCTGCCATTCAGAAAAAGCACAATCAAAACACCCCGGAAGATCTATCCTCTGTTTAAAAGCCTCCACGGAAGATGCTTCCACTACACTCTGTAGCAGTGAGTTCCACTGCTGAACAGCTATCACAGTTAGGAAGTTCTTCCTAATGTTTAAGTAGAATCTCCCCTCCTGTAATTTGAACCCATTGCTCCAAATCCTAGTCTCCAAGGCAGCAGAAAACAAGCCTGTTCCCTCTTCCTTATAACAGCCTTTCAAATATTTATACATGAATATCATATCTCCTCTCAACCTTCTCTTCTGCAGGCTGAACATCCCAAACTCTTTAAGCCACTCTTCATATGGCATGGTCTCCAGAGCTTTGATAATTTCAGGTACTTTCTGGACTCGTTCCAGCTTCTCAATATCCCTCTTGAACTGTGGGGCTCGGAACTGAATGCAGTGTTCCAAGTGACGGCATCCCCTTGAAGTAGTAGACAACTTGTGGCTTTCCAGACTACAACTTCCAAGTTTAGTGTAGCTAATGGTTAATGAGTGAAGGACGTTGCAGATGAGTAACATCTGAAGGGTCTCCCATTCCCCATCCATCTCTAAACATCAACATGTTCTATGTAGGCGTATAGTTGGGAATTTATAATGGTTTTCCTTAAATAATAGTTTCTTCTTCTTGCCCAAGCATTAAGTTACAAGTTCCCAAACTATGTTCTACTATACTCCAACATGTAAAGCAAATCCCAGAACTCTGACAGTACTCACTTTTGTATTCAAGCTTGTATTCCTTATGTGGCATTCTCCTTCCGTATCCAGATGCCAAGGAAGGAGACCTTCACTTACACCTGCTTCCTCAGATATGCAGAAGCTACCAATTAATAGCTCAAAATGGGAACACAGTTTGCTTTTGCAAGAACACATTTGAGTTTCTCCTCCTCCACCACCTCCACTTTCCCTTCCCCTCGAATCAGATGAGACGCCACTACAACAATATGTTTACACGTTGGATTTAAAGATACACCCACATTGTGTAATGAAAACTATCCCCAACAGAGGAAGAACTCTACCTCCTGAAGAGCCAAACTCACCTTACCCAGTTAGTTAAACAAAGACAGGAAAGTTTGGGGAACAGCATGTAACACACAAAATCAACTGGTTCGCAGCGGCTTCCCTGAATTTATTATACCCAGAAGAGCTGGCTACTTGACAACAAAAGGAAACAAGAATCTGGAATGGCCTCTTTTGGAAGGTGTGTAGGCTGCACAACTAATGTAGGTCAGTAAAGTATTCTGTCCGGCAAGAAGCATGAGGAACTGACTGAGTAATTTCTGCCCACAACCAGCCATGCAGGGTTATTTAATAGAAGCCAGCATCAAGAGACTGCAATCATCTTACATAATATTAGGGAGTTTCAACTTGGTACCCAGGGTAGGGACACTGAAGATGGGGATATCTACAGCCTTGCTTCCATAAGAAGCCCAACACCAAGGCAGATTTTGATCACTAACTAGATTGCTGCCTTCACCAGCAGTATCTAAAAGGACTCAGGGGATAAGCTTTATTCATCCTTATGTGCTGGCAAGTATATCAATCCATGGACATCACTATGTCCATAAAATATCACATGAAGACCACATGAAGCATGTTAGATCCTCCTATCTTTGTCTTTGAGGCCAGAGCAGGCATCTCTGAGCTGCCCTGCCAACTGCTGCAGTTCCATCTCCTCTTAATACCTTTATAAACATATATTATCTACTTAAAACCTATGAAAATAATGGTTTGGGAACCACAATGGAAGGGAGATGTTGACAAGCTGGAATGTGTCCAGAGGAGGGTGACTAAAATGATCAAGGGTCTGGAGAACAAGCCCTATGAGGAGCGGTTTAAAGAGCTGGGCATATTTAGCCTGCAGAAGAGAAGGCTGAGAGGAGACATGTATCAACATGTGAAGGAAAGTCATAGGGAGGAGGGAGCAGGGTTGTTTTCTGCTGCCCTGGAGACTAGGACACAAAACAATGGTTTCAAACTATAGGAAAGGAGATTCCATCTGAACATGAAGAAGAACTTCCTGTGAGAGCTGTTCAGCAGTGTCCCGGAGTGTGGTGGAGGCTCTTTCTTTGCTTTTAAACAGGGGCTAGATGGTCATCTGTCGGGGCTGCGTTGAATGCTATTTTCCTGCTTATTAGCAGGGAGTTGGACTTAATAGTCCACAGGTCTCTTCCAACTCTATGATTCTAAGCCCATGTTTAATTGAGAGAGATAAGAAAAAACATTAGAATAACACATTGGGCTCACCAAAAGCTCCCTTCTCATGCTCAGGACTGCCATTTTTTTTTTTTTTTACTAATAGGAGGACTCTGAATATCTTTCAGAAAATTACAACAGTAAGGGAACTGTGCCAATTGACTGTCTAGTAGAAGGCAACCACTTCTAAGCAATACACAAAGCCTTCGTTAACTCTTCGTTAACTCTGCCCCAGCGTCACCATCTCTTTCTTGGTGTAAAATCAAACTCAAATTAGTACAAAAAAATCCTCAACA